ATCTGAAGCAGGAGCATCGCCTCTCCTCCGTTCACGTTTCACCGGAGACTGAGACACGTTCATTCCTCCCGACTATAAGAGCAGACAGCCCGATGTCACGCCTCTCTCTCTAGCTCTCTCTCTCTCTTCTCTCTCTCCCTCTCTCTCTCCCTCACCCACACCTCCCCTCTCAGTTTATACATTTTCAATTCACTATGCTTTATTGACAGGAGTGTCTGGTGAACAACATTGTGTCCAGGATAATACAATATTCAATAATGAGAGGAAAAGAAATATCATTAATTAATTAAAAAATAAATAAATAAATAGATTTAAATAATTACTGCAAATTGCAAAAACAGTACCCCTCTCTCTCTCTCTCTCTCTCTCTCTCTCTCTCTCTCTCACTGGCAATCTTGTTACACCATAAAAAGACTGTCCTGTGAAAAACGAGCCCATAGGTCGTCTGTGCAGCAGGTTATTATGACCCATAGTTAGGTTTTGTTGCTAGGCGACATCTAGTGGTCGTAGTAATGATGACAGGAGCAAAGGGAAAAGTGCGGTTATGTTGTATAAAGAGAGACAAAGTCCACGTCAGGAGGAGGTTGTGGTGGATGGATGGGTCAACAAAACAGAGAAATATGACACAGGAGAGTGCGATTGTTTCCCGTATGAAAGTAGCTGTTTATATGGTAACCATGACAACAAAGATTGTGTAAGGTTGAGGAAGTACTTATTTGAACTCAAATCACCATCTTTTCCTAAACCTAATTATTGTAACCATTGGGGCGCTATTGAAAAAACAACGTATATGGTTGTTCAGGTTGGAGGACTTCTTGGAGACTTTTATTTGATGCTGATAAAATTCAGGCTCTGAATGTGGTGCCTTCAAGAACTTATCCAGTCTAAGCCAATGACTGTAAAGATGGATGAAATATTAGCTCCCCAGTGCGGCCTGGGATGGCCTGGACCCCTTAGATCTGGGCACCACTAGCTCCATTTGAAATCAAAGTTTGGGGGCAACCATTTAATTAATTGGTTTGATAGAAAGAAAGAAGAAACAATAGAAATGTTACTTGAACTTTCTGCATTGTCATCAGGTAGATCTGAATACTTACTATTTAAACAGGTCACACACTCAAATCATTAAAATATGACGTTGTACAGCCTGATAGCTTTCTTAAATATGTTCTTTTTAATTGACCCATATATTTTGATTATTTGACAATTTAGTCTCACTATCTGTCAGTTCTTATGAGCTTTTGTGTGTCTTTTTTAATGTTGTTTATTAGCCATGAACTCAGAGACTGTAGGTGAAAATGAGCTTGTATGGCTAAATATGGTGCATGTACATGATGGAGCCAAGTGCTAATATTAATTATTGTGAATTGTCTCTTCTTCTCTGTCTACACACAATTGCATTCATTGCAGATGCACATTAAAGATAATAATGGTCTCTCTAACATAATGATGGCACTAGATGAACAGTATCACCACAGTGAGTGATTCCATTTCATCCAATGAGGAACATTTGAGATTCAAGATTAATTTTTATTATCATTATACAACACAAGATTGTGTAACGGAATTACAGATGTAGTCCCTCTATGCTTCACAACAAAAGTTACATAAATGGATGAATAAATAATCAAGTCATGAAAATAAGTGCAGAGGATGAATTCATCCTTCTCACAGCCTGAGGAAAGAAACTGCTCCAAAGTCTGGTGGTACTGAGGTTGGATATGGACTATCACGTCTTTCCTTCTACTGAAGTTAGCATGCTAACCAGCTAACCCCTGCCTGTCTCATCACTTTCTGTTAGCCATTCACTGTAGCCTCCAATCTGCCCTGAAGATGTATCTGCTCAGGGGACGTATTAGAACCTCTTGTCTTGTAAACGCAACGATGGCTAAAGCTCTTGTCATCACCACCACCTGCTCCCAACAATAAACCATTTATCTTTTTGTCAGTCTTTGACTGATTAGCTACCAGTATGGTTAACAGCCCCACAGTCTGTGGTTAACACAGGTTACCAGCCCACTAAGGTAGCAGCTAATGCTAGCTGGGTTAGCAGGGTGTAATTGATATTAATTGTGATATTAACAGGGATGCTAATTCTGGCTTGCTAAAAACAAAATGTAGCTACTTATCGGAAAATTTGAACAGCCAACTCCTTTAGTAAAACCGAATATTCAACAAGACATTTCTAGGCAAACAAAATGTTCAACTTTCATGAACTGAAAACACAAACACAAAACTCAAAGGTCTCTATCCTCTATCCTGACTGGCAGGTCACTGTGCATGGTAGGGGCTTGACAATCACAAGGTAGCCACACCCTAAAGTATTCTCTGCTTTATTGTTTTTTTTTTTTTTCGTTTAAATAGGATCATAATTTACAAAATGCATGCTGGACACATCATGCTGGATTGAAGAAGATTTGAAACTGGCTTTGCTGCAGAATGTAGAAACTAGCTGATAATGGCGTACAGTGTTTGTTATCTGTTTTATTACTGTACAGTCAGCTCAAAAAACATATTTAAGTGAGATATGTATCTCTGTTATAACAACACTAGATACTAGTGTGTCATAAAGTTATCGCCCGTCTCTCTCTATAGCTTTGGAGAAAAGATGGGAAGACGTATATAGATTTTTCTCTCAGGGAACACACCTGTCCGAGTATAAGTAGTCCCAGAAATCAAAGGAGGATCAGGAGGATCCAAATTCACACAAAAGGGTGAGAATCTGTAATTCATTCAAATGCAGTCAGTGTCTTGGTAAAACAGCATTTTAGAGTTGATGGTGAACATTTTTGTACTAATGTTACAAGCATTCATAAGTAACTGAAATTACTGTTACCAGCTTAGTTTCCATTTGGCAGTTTGCAGAAGAATAACTCATGAGGGGAGACATCAGGACTGATGCCACACATCTCCACGAGCTCTTAATGATGCATGATTTTTAGTGACTTGTGCACTGCTCCAGAGTAAAGGTCAGCGGCATCAGACACAGCAGTGCCATCAAAGGTATTTTCTTAGTCAAAATCCATGCAAATCCCATCACCTCTGACACAAAGGTAATGGGATTTACTTTCAGTCTGTGTCATGTACTTTAAAGTTCCTACGAAGAGTCCTTACCACTCAGTTTAAACCAGGTTTTTTTTACATGGTTCAACATTTATTACACTAAAGTCATTAAAGTTATTCTGGCAGTTTAAAGAAATGTGTGTGAATACTTGGTGCCATGTATTTGTATGTCTGTATTTACACATGATCTAATATGACAAAGAAAGTTGTAGTCCATATTTGTACAAAAAATATTACAAAAATAAATATACTGTTGTGCCTGATTCAGGTTGTTTTCATAATTTCTTTAGTCTCCAAAGGTGCTCTGCTGTTCTGCTACTAATGGACAGATTTCCTTTAAAGTATCTTATAAGACTACACTGTCTATTTAAAGGAATTTAGGGAATTAGAAGTGAAAATATCAGTACATGCTCCTTGTATTCTTACAGTACTTGGCAATGTTGATTCATCAGAACTATGACAAAGGTTCCTACTATTTGATTTTTAAATATATTGCTTGTTCCTGATAATACAACAGCAGCGGAAAAGTTGTGATTGAAGGCAATTTTCCAAGAAATCAACATGTGTTTTTGCGAACAAGAAAGTTTTACTTTTGATTTATTAGGCTTATAATTTCATCAAAAATGATTTAAAAAAAATAACAATTATATCGGGGACATTGACCCAGGGGTACTATGCTTGGAGATACAATTTCTTAACCAGTTGGAAAATATAAATAAATGTTTGAAAATCTACAAGACACTCTGCATATGGTTGAAGGTAACTTGTATTTTCAGATTTACTTGTTTTCTGATCAATTGAAATGAAGTTAAGCTATAAGCTTAGCTCAGGTTTGATATCAGTTTACAGGGCTGGATGATCCAATAGAGACACTTTGAGCCACGGAAAGTAGTCTGTCTTGAACTTCTGAGGTTTGACTTTGATTAGCTTCTTTTGTTTCAGGAGAAAAGGTTGTTTTGGGGCAGAACAAGACTAACAGAACGAAGCTATTGAATGAAACGAAGGCTGTGGTTGAAAAGTCTTTTTTTCTGAGGTAGGAAGGTTCCTAACTGAGTGAAATGATCTGAAGTATCTGAGCAGCAGCCATGATAAGAGCTGGTCCACTTTTCTAAATGATGAGGAAAGGAGCTGCAGTGGTTTCTATTGTATCTCCTTAAGCATAGGAAACACTGGACCTTCCTTCAAAGGAGAAATGCTGTCCCACAATTCCTTTACGCAGCAGCATTTAAAGCGACACACCTTTGTAGTTTCACCACAGCAGACCCACATAAATGTAGAAGCAAGAAAGTGCCTGTTTTATGTTTGTGACACGATCCAGAACTGATGGAAATCCTTGTCTGATTGACTGAAGCCAAATCCATAAATATAGATTTCTTCATACAGTTAGGAGTCGTCATGAAGAACATAGTTAACAATATCATCATAACAAAATACTATAGTCTATACAAAATCTCATTTCACCAAATCTTTTATTGGTGTAATGCACTAAAACTGAATTTAAAAAAATGAAATTTTTTATTTTATCTATTTCATTATTTTTTAATGGCTCAACTATCTCTATTTGTATTTTTCTTTCATGTTGTCATATTTCAACATTTCAGTCCTGTTTTCTTTTTTTATGGTGAGGAATGGAGGATTTATCGTCAATGTCGTATAAATAAAGTTAGTTAAAAAAAAAAAAAGATTTGTGTATGTGCAGTCGGGTTCCTTATTAGTCATTATGAATTCTCCTTCAGATCTTTCCTTGACCTCATGACGTTTAAGTGCTTAGGAAAGGAGTTTATTTTGACTTTTCGACCGCAGCCGAACAATAAAGGACAAAATGAGCGTCACAGGATGGCGGTAAAGGCACCCGCCACCAGAAACATCGAAGAAGAAGAAGAAGAAGAAGAAGGAACATTTTTATGACGTAGAAATACAGCGCCGGAGAAGCTAGCACTCCTGTTAGCTACGTTAGCTTACGTTTCGAAAGAAGATTATTGACAGTTCCCCAGCTCATGTTGGCGGGTGTTTTATCTGGTTAGATGGTCCAGCGGCCGTCCCGGTGCCCAGTACTTGTTTGGTATAGTCTCAACCGGCGGTCGTCATGGCGGAGGAGAAGGATTTCCCACCAAACCTTCTGACAGAGGAGATGAAACACAGCAATGGCGACTTCGTAGCTCCAGATGGTTTATGCTGGCTGTCAGTGCTGTCCTGTCTACTGCTTGCTTGTTCTTATGTTGGCAGTTTGTACGTGTGGAGGAGTGACCTGCCGAGGTGAGCCACACACAGCTGTTTGTAGTATACTGAGGACATTATGTTTTTATTACACTTTCCTAGTGCTACGTGATTCAGTTATGCTCATTCTGACAGGAATTAGGTTCTCATCTATACATTTGTGAGTCAGCACTCAACGGGCTTTTAACTTTAAGTCACAAATACTGTGTTAGAAAAGTCATAAACGGCACAGCTTCCCTCTGAGCATGTGCTCACATACTGTAGTGACAGACATTAGCGCCGCTCTGTGGCCGAGCAACGTGCCGCTCCAGACTCCGAGCTGGGGCTGCAGCCGAGTCCGGACTAACCTGTGTAACCAGGCACAGAGACGATAACAGCTTCACTTTTTGACCACAGACCAAGCAGTGCATCCATACTGGAATAAAACTACCCGGCTCAGGTTTCAGTTAATTAAGCCCAGCTTTGTTTACTGATATGCATTGTGTTAGAGCAGTATAACCTAAAGGTGTCAGGACAGCAGAGGTAATACACTTTCTCTTTCTCACATCAGCACCTCAGTGTGACTGACTGAGCTTTGTCTCTACTTCTCTGAACTTCTAATAATGCTGACGCTCTCATTGTCACCTGCTGTTTGGAGTGATCATATGATCATATAATGTGACTGAGACAATCACCTTTTGAAGGGAACCCTCATGAAATATAGGCCCTCAGCCTATATTAAGCATAATGGGCTGAATATTATTTACATTTCATAAAAATTTAATAATTTCCTGTGACCCAATCAGAAGCTCTTTATTTTATGTGACTGAAGTTTAATTTATCTTGAAATAACTTAAAGGAGTTGTTCCATTTTTGTGAAGGCTTAGTTGCTTTTTGTGGAGCGTTGTGACGTTGATGTTTCTAGGCTAAATATGAAGCTACCAGTAGCTTGTTAGCTTAGCTGAAGACATTGGAAATGGGGAAACTGTTAGTCAGGCTGTGACTGAGTGCTCCAAAGCTCCATATGAAACACGCTGTGGCAAGTTTAAACTGTCCAAAAACGAGAGTGGAAAAACATCAACCTGTTGTTTTACAGGTAGTTATCTGCTGGAATATTTATTAGCTGGGAGCAGTTGCCCGGCAACCAATGAGGGGCGGAAGTAACAGAAATTAACTGACAAAAATGGAAGTGGTGAAAATGCTTACAAATTAACAATGGAACTGATGACATGAATGTGAATTGAAAAATGGAGTGATGAATCATCAAATGATTTGATGAACTTGATTGACATTTTATTTGAAATACTTTTTTGCACTTTCTGTTATAAGCACAATACAAGTAGTGAAATGAGGGTCCAACTCTGCAGCAGGGGAAACTGCAAAAAAAGTATAACAAACACACACACATATATATATATATATATATATATATGTGTGTGTGTGTGTGTAAAAATATTTCAGTGTTATGAAAAAAAATGCATGTGATGGGAAATATTGCAATATTCAGTAATATTGCAATATTGGTCCAAGCCGAGCTGCCACTGCCAATATTTGTGCTTGCTGTCCCTCAGGTGTCGTACATGTACAGATGCAAATTTCAACAAAAGTAAATACATAAAGTGTATGTGTGTGTGTGTGTGTGTTCCTATATATTATATTTCCTATATAAAGGAAAATGAACAGAGGCCATGCAGTGGTCCAGGTTAAATCTTAGATATGAAGTGTATCTTTACTACACTTACTGTCAATTCAGTTTGTTTCCTCGATAAAGTCTGTTTGTTGAGATTTCAGTTAGGATTATTTTTGTTAAAGTACAGCCACATAAAAGTGGTATTATTTATCACTCCATGTTTTGATTCAAATGCATTTTCTTCACCTCCATTTTTATCTATTATTTTTTTTACTTCCACCCATCATAACAGCCAGTAATGACTCCTGGAAGTTGCAGGTTCAGGCTGAGACACAGTAATTATTAAAGTAGTGTGTGGATGCATGGGAAGTAGCTTTGCCAAAGTAATAAAACCTTGACTGAGATAGAATAAGCAAGAGTCCGAGAAGCGTTAAAATTCTACAGTTTTTGAACAGAGTTTGGTGTAACATGAGGGGTCAGGGTGCCCACTCCTCTTCCTCTGTGGTGCTGATGACTGTGTGATCATTGTCTGACTCTCAGAGATCATCCCACTGTGATAAAGAGACGCTTCACCAGTGTGCTGATCGTGTCGGGCCTTTCTCCTCTCTTTGTGTGGGCATGGAGAGAATTCACAGGTGTGAGGGTGAGTCACTGAACCTCAGTCTGTACATTCAGCTCCAACACCCGAGGACCTGGTGAACCATGTGTACTGTTGCTCTCTGACACTTTACCTGTGGTATTATTAGACAGAGCCTGACTTTTCTTCACTTATTGTGCGCGTGCGTGTGCGTGTGTGTGTGTGTGTGTGTGTGTGTGTGTCTCAGACTGGCCCATCGTTACTGGCTCTCATGGGGATCCGGTTTGAAGGCCTCATTCCTGCCGTCATACTTCCTCTAGTGCTCACCATGGTAAGAAACACATCTCCCATCATGTTGTTGATGATGATGAGGATGATGAGGATGATGGTGGTGATGGTGATGGGGGGCCAGAGACGTGAGGCGAAGATACTGTGTGAAGTGACAGGGACGTGTCCTAAAAACAACTGGCAGTTAGTTAGCTTATCAACACAGCTCGCAGCAGCAGAGGCTGTGACACACTCATGGAGACAATTATGGTGCCTTCCAGTTTGTGTCAAAAGTCATATGACATCTAGGAGTCATAACTATCAGTTCTGAGCACACAGACATGATACACTTATTGTTATTATTATTATTATTATTATTATTGTCTAAGTTCTGTTTGGGGGATAATCATGCTTTTAGGTTTTGGAACTACAATTAAAACAGGAAGTATAGTGGATGGAGTCAGCGAGTTCGCTGTGGGCTACAACTTAAGACTGATTAAGATTTTTTTTTTTTTGCCTGTCTTTGTTGACATTTTGGCAAATTGGCTCCATTAAAAGTAGCTGAATTAGCGGTAAGCAGTTCCTCTTGGTGATGTATTCATGCATGTACAGACCACTGTCACTGGACCACTGCCATGCTGAGGAAAGCTTCAGATCCTGCTGATTCTCAGGGAGGTAAAAAGAGCAGATTTTCTCTATGATTTCTGATGAGTTTATGGACGTTTATTCGTGACACTGAGTCGCACCGAATCTAAAAATAAAATATGTGTGAGATGTCTGTATGTTCAGAGTTGACTGAATTATAACTTAGAGAGGTGAGTAAACTAAAGCAGCCCAACTACAATAACTGACTTCCTGTTTTATTTAAATCACTGTCCCCTTCACCTCGTGCAGTATCTTTGCCTCACGTCTCTCCCTGTGAGCCGGACCTGGATCGGAAGTGGATCAGGTTCCGTGTTGTTGATAGTGGGCAGTTTATAGAAAGGCCTTTCACACAAAGGTGTGTTTCTATGTTAAAATGAAGACAGTTGTTGTTGTTATGTAGTGGATCCCAGACCATCATTTCAGTGCAGCCGTATTGTTCATTTTACTGAGCATTAAAAACTGTAAAATCCTTGTTTGACATATGTTTGATATGATGTATAAATACCGATATACTGATAGTTGGGCTGTTTTATGTCACTAATAGTGTGTGTGTGTGTGCGCGTGTGCCCTGCAGGTCCTGTTTCTGGGCCCCCTCATGCAGCTGGCCATGGACTGCCCCTGGAGCTTCATGGATGGGATCAGGGTGGCATTTGGTGAGGCAGCCAACATGCAACAGTTAGAAGCTTTTGGAACCTCTCTACAACCTGCTGCTTTTGACAGTGGTTACGTTTTGCGTTTGTGACATGCCGGAGACCTTTAGTGAATAATAACCTCCTGCTCTCTGTCCTCCTGCAGACCCCTGGTTCTGGATGTTGTGTTTCAGCGACATGCGCTGGTTGAGGAATCAGGTGGTGGCGCCGTTAACAGAGGAGCTGGTGTTCAGGGCCTGCATGCTGCCCATGCTGGTGCCCTGTGCAGGTCCTTCTATTGCCATCTTCACCTGCCCTCTCTTCTTTGGAGTGGGTGAGTGCTGATTCGTTGACATGGTAGGGCAGCCTTGTCTTAAAATGACTGAACCACAAAACTTATCAACCAGACAGCACGAGGCAGGGCGACTCCTTTCTGTTGGTCTTTCTGATCTGGGCTCAGGTGTCCAGTGGACAGCGCTGTCAGCAGCCTGAAAACTCAGCTGTGACCAAGACACCAATTTGTGATATAAAATTAACTCATATAATTAGCATCTATCTTCTTTGATAAAGGGATGGTGGACTTTATTAATGCAGCTTTACTGTAAACTTGTCTGTTGGTTTGTTTCTATACAACATGGAAATGAATGGAAACCAGTTTTATGTTGACAAAATGATCAGTTGTTGTTTATTGGTCTTTATATTTGACTTCTAAACAGAAAAGGTCAGTTATATGATGCTTTAAAGGACCTGTCGGACCTTTAGCTTGGTTACTGTGATGCTACACGATGAACCAGCTGTGAATCAAACTGCACCTCACCACACTTGGATGAATCTTTGTCTTTTTAATTTTGTTCTTCATTTGAGTTTTCAGTCATGGGGACATGGTTTTTAACAGCAGCAGATACTGTAAATGTAAAACAGACAGACGTGTTTGATGACCAGCTGATTCACGTTGCTGCGTTTCTCCAGCTCACTTCCACCACGTGATCGAGCTGCTGCGCTTCAGACAGGGGACGCTGTCAGGGATCTTCCTCTCTGCAGGTGAGGACTTGTGTCATGTGGTCTGACTGGGAGATACATGAGCAGGAAGGAGGAGGATGATGATGATGATGATGATGATGATGATGAACTGTGTTTTGTTTGGTCCACCACAGTGTTCCAGTTCTCCTACACAGCAGTGTTTGGGGCCTACACGGCCTTCATCTTCATCAGGACAGGTGAGCAGCTTCATCATCTACGTCTCGCATTGTCTTTAAATGTGATTTGTTTTCACACCAGAACCTGTGGTTTTACAAAGACCGAGTTTTTGTATGAGAAGAAAATCATATGCTACAACATGTAGACCTGAACCCTCGTGTATCAGTCAACATCAGATCCAAGATCTATGTTTAAATTGTACAACTTCTTCTTTAGTTCATGGCTGAACGTTGAAATATTCAGATTTAATTGAAATCCATCTCATGTACCTGTAAAGGTAAGTGAGATGAAATATCTGCTGTATCCGTTTCCAAAACTTAACAAACATAAAATTTTTATAAACAACAAAGTCATAGTGTGTAAATAAATACAATCTTAACTTAAAAAACAACAACACATGAATTCATGCCATCATTGTTTGATATTTAACTGTTCTCTGTACTAAACTAGTTCTACATGGCAACAGACGTGATGTCTGATGTGAGTTTCAGATGTTTTTGGTACAAAATGTGAGTTTTGGATTTTGATATTTGATGATCTAATTGATCTGATTTAGTTTGGAGATCAGTTTTTTTTTTATTATTTTTTTTTTTAATATATTTTTTGGGCTTTTTATGCCTTTATTGGACAGGACAGTAGAGAGACAGGAAATGGGGAGGCAGACAGAGGGTGAATGACATGCAGTAAAGGGCCGTCCGATGCGGGACTCGAGCCGGGGCCGACTGCAGCGAGGACTGTAGCCTCTGCACATGGGGCGCCTGCTTAGACCACTACGCCACTCGACGCCCCCGTGTCTGGAGATCAGTTTGAGTGTTTTGATAAGATATGTGGATAAATGTGACCAGTGATTAAAGACACGAGGAGCTCTCAGCCCCTTTTTATTTTGTCAGTGTAGCTGTGAGAGTGAAAAAGATTGGAGACCCCTGTGTTAGTCGTTAGCAAAAACGTGGCAACACGTTACACTGGAGAGTCCCCCCAGTAAGAGGTACAGTACGCAAGGCTTTAATTTGGAGGCGTGCCACTAGTGTAGGAAGTGGTATTTATTCCCAGATTCATTTTTTTATGACTGAAGGTCAAATGAGATAATTAAAGAAAGATTCCTTGACATTCACGTGTCTGTTGGTTTGTTTTAGTCACACCCAGCCGAGGTTTAGTCCAGTAACAAACCAGAACGCTCCTGAACAGTAGATCCTCTCACACCAGAGCCTCTGGTCTCTGTGTTCTCTGTGCCACACCTGGTGCTGTAAATCTGTAAATTCAAGGGTTAATGTTTCCTCCCTCCTGTGTGTCACAGGTCACCTGATGGGCCCCGTCCTCTGCCACTCCTTCTGTAACTACATGGGTTTCCCCGCCATCAGCACGGCCCTGGAGCACCCCCACCGCCTCACTGTCCTCTCCTCCTACCTGCTGGGCGTCCTCCTCTTCCTCCTCTTCCTCTTCCCCTTCACTGACCCCTCCTACTACGGCCTCCCCACACCAGTCTGCACCCTGACCTCCTCCCCCAGCTCCCTCTGCCTGTCCTGATCCCTGCCCGCCACCCCCCCCCACTCCCTCAACACACACACACTTGTTTGTTTTGCCAAGTTAGAGATCAGGTCTGGTCCGGTCTGGACCGACAGCGCTAACAGCCATGTGGGCTACGTTGCCACGGGGAGGTGAGGAGCCATTTTCTCTGGTCTGTGGAGCCTTGACGTGTCGAGACATTTACACGACACGTTTGAGTGAATCAGCTGAACGACTCCGTTTGATTTGGTGTGATTCATGTTGCTGGGTGAAGCTGAGACACGGACAGTAGTGTAGATACACACAACACTGAAGGACCAGTCCTCCTCAGACCCAGACCGGTTCTCCTCAGACCCTCTGACACTGGTAGATCTCCTCAGTTTGAGGAAGTGTCGTAACGTACCACTGATGGACTCATTTTCTACTCAGACTTTTTAAAGGTTAATCCTGCTTTACTTTAATGTTAGTTTTTGTCAGTCAGCCACTGGTTATAATACCATCGTATTATAATAGTTCATTATCAGTATTTCAGGTGAGCTCACCTGGTTTAGATAATCCACATAAACCTGTCTGACTGTGAACCACCTGTCTGTGGTTCGGGCTGTTTTGTTGTGTAAAGCTTTGGGTTCATGTCGGGTTCTTTTCAAATGTTATTTCTCGCATTAGCTTTCCGAGCTAACGTTAGCGATCGGTCTCAGGCTGGGTTTGGGCTTTAGGGTTTGTCAGAACCAGCTGGGCTCAGGTTTCCAGCTTTAGGATCCTGTTGTAATAAAGCCAGAATTATCCTTTAGCGCCTTTGATGAAGACATGTAGATTTGTGGGTTGTTGTTGAAAACAGTGAGAGCCACAGCACTCACCACAACATGTCCTCTGGCTGCACTGCACCCTGGTCTACAGAGGCCAATGGAGATGTTAGGATTCTTGTTGCCGTGGCTGCACTGGAGCACAGTGACGTTGGTGTGATGTCGAGATAGGAACATGAAGAACACGTTCTACGTCACCAACAGCTGTTTTTAATGTTTTTATCTGTGACTTCAGATTCAGACTCCAGGACTTTGAATCCTGAATCGGCCTCTGTTTAGTGTTTGAAGAGAAATATTACTGGATATTTATATACCTCTGCATGTTTCAGTGCTGGTAGTTTGTTTTCTTTGGTGAAGGTGGGTGATGGGATCATTCATGGGGAGGGGAGGGGAGGGGAGGGGGGGTGGGGTGGGGGGTGGGGGGGGGCACTGTTCCTTACGTCGGAAACATACTCTGTGTAAGTGCAGTAGTTCTACAGACTGAGCTGCTCCTCGTAGAGACTCTTCAGGATGAAGCTCAGTCTGTGATGATGTGAAGAGCCCGGTCACAGAGCTTTTAATGTATCTGAGTGTGACTGGATCACCAGCTGGGCAAAGCAGCCGAATGCTCTGAGGCTACGTCCACATTACTACGCTGTTTTAAAATGAAAAACGATCTCCGTCCAGACTAACACACCTGAAAAGACGTCTGCTGTGTTAAAATGCAGGATTTAACTGAACAGCAGCTGCTGGCAAAAACAACAAGGTCAGCAACACTGTAATTCATTATCATGTTGTATTCACCACTGGCAGTCGAGGCTGATGAGAACCAATCAGGGAGCGGCTGTGGGTTGTCTACATCATCATTTCCAAAAGTCTCAGTTTCTGTCTGTCCAGTCTACAACACGACCCCGGAGTTTTCAAACTAAAACAGGTTCAGCGGAATTTTCTGAAAGTCTCCGTTTTTTGGGGGCTTGAAACCTCTGGAGTCGTGTGGACGGGAGGCGATACGTAGAAAAAGAGATTTGTTTTAAATGAAAACGTAAAAGTGTGGACGTAGCCTGAGACCCTGAAAGTTTGCTGTGTCAGTTGGGTCTTATGTGATTTTAAATAACCGCAGATTTGGCTAATTTGTGCTGCTGACGGGTGATGCCACACCTGTTTAGTTTGGGGAAAACAAACCCGGGTGTGACAGCTGCCAGCAAGACTAAACAACCAGACTGAGAGCACCTGAAGAGGGTCTTAAAGAGCCTCCCTAAAGCTGCAGTGTACTGCACTGTGTTCCAGTAAAAAGCGTGTGACACATGGTTCCCTTGGTGTGAACATGTAAAACTACATATTAACTGAGGCAGCTGCTGCAGTGTTATCATCCTCTACAGGTGCTGGAGAAAAACATGAGATTAAAATAATAATCAAATAGAAATGGGAGTGCAGGTTGTCCAGAGAAGTGTCCCTGAGCCTCTCTCTGGTGTGACCGGGCTCTGACATCATCAGGTGACATGTTTTCAGAGCATGTTTCAGTCCGACAGCTGGATGTTGTTAAATGTTCTCAGTTCTCTTTGTTTCTTCATTCCATTCCAGACATCTTGTTCTGAGGAGCTCACACTTTCTAAACCAGACACCATTAAAACTATTGGTTCGATTTTTTTCTTAGTCTCATACACAGTACAGAACCTGCTGCTCCCATCATCCTTTGCTTCAGTTATATAGTCACTGACTGAAGGGAGTGGAAGGCCCTGACCCCTCAGGTGTAGTTTGATAGAGACGACACTGCACTGCATGCTGCTACCTGATCCTTTTAATGCAGAGCCAGGAGAAGTCATCTGTGTTTCCACATGTCCACAGCCTCACTACAAACGCCACCAGATCACACTCTGTTCTGTTTGCACAGTTTTAGCCTCGTTCATTCCATCAGTTCTCATAACACTGACACAGTGTGTGTGTGTGTGTGAAAACAGTCCAACAGGCCAGCAACACAGGCAGACATATGATCATACAGACTGTGAGGAAATCCACAGTTATCTAAACCACTTCTTTGTACATGAAACCAAACTTGAAGTATTCATTTTCCCTTCTTTCAAAGTGTAGTTTCAATTAATGTTTCCACCACAGGAACTTTCCCTACCTGTGTTTCCACCACAGACCAGGGTCTACATTAAGTTCAGGGAGAAGGTTTTACCCCCAGAACAGCCCCTGGTCCGGAGGTAGTACCTTCTGAGGGTCCAGGAGTTCTGGGGTGGGGCTTGCAGTGCTGAACATTGCTGATTGGTCAGATACGTCAAGCATCTTCCAAAAACGTTGTTGTGCACCTGACACATTTAAAACCCTGCAACTGCAAACGTGTTGTTCAGCTTGTAGTTTGTGGTTGACAATCATCAGGACGGAGCGGGACAAGAGGTTTAAATGTCGTCACAGTGTGAACAGATGGTGTGAAAGGCGGCCGCGCTGTTTTCTGATACGACAGGGTTCAGCTTGTTTAATCCTCCTGCTGAGGAAACGCACCAGAGGAGCTTCTACCTCCAGGAAATGTAAGTTCCTGGAGCTTTTGGTGGAAAAGAAGCTGATATCTGTTCACTCACTGCAGTTACCGGCTAACAGGTGACTTCAGCTGTGTTGTTGTTGTGGTAATGGTTCTGTTCCATCCTTGGTGTCATGGTTACCTGTCCACCGTGACCGATTTCCTCCAGTTGACTTTACAGGTGCTCTGTAGCGTCTGTGACTGCTGTGTGGAGTCGTCTTCTGTTTTGTTTATATCGTGCGGACGTGCGGGCGGCGTGATTCATTGAAGCTTTTCTGTTGATTGACAGGCGATGTTAGAAGAGAGGGAGCCGACTGCTAGCTACTGAACACTGATGTAAACAATGCAGGAGGGAAAACGACACCCACAGTGTGTTTTGGTTTAACGTAGAGGACGACAAAAGCCTAGTTTAGTGATCAGATGAGGGCATGCGATACAAACCACCCACACAGGACAGCAAGACTCAACCTGCTGCGATTATCATCACACATCAAACATGTAATTGTACAGTCGAATTTGAACTTAGAGTAAACAGAGACAGTCCTAAATTAGAATTATTTGTTATCAGTACACCTGGTCTTCAGTAGTTAAATGTCGTCACAACCAGCGACACAACTGACAAAAATGAGACTCAAGTTGTCAAAAAAAAAAAAAAGCTGAGCTCTCATTTTCCTGTTAGTTCTGGACAGTTGTGTTCAGTCTTGTAATATTCTGGTGCTGCAGGGAGGAGGGGGGTCAGGAGGGTTTATTAGATTTTTCCTCCTTGTGAAACACACACAATCATTCCTTCATCAGAGCGTCTGACTCATCACCCTCTCACTCCACCTGTTGAAGTCATTTACAGCTTAAAGTTGGTGATACTCACTGATGATAAAACACTATAAGCTATAATAATACTGTGAAGAAGAAAGGGGCTGCTTGGGTCTTCAGCAATAAATCCTTTAAGTGAAATTTATTAAATTTTCTTTGATACTGAGCAGGAGAGCAGTAGATTCTCTGGACTATACATATATTAAGTATTCTGGCCAGTTAAATAGCTGTTGAAGTTTGGTGCCCTGGCAGGCGGTGTATTGTGCTGTACCTATCAGTAGCTGCCAGCAGAGGTCAGCAGAGAGCTGTGTGACAGGCAGACACTCCGCTCTGTTCGTCAGCCTGTCTGACTTTGTCAACCATCTCTGGAAAACCACCTTATTGTTCCTCTAACTTCTCCACAGTGATAGAGGAGGCTGATGCAGAGAGGAGAGTTTTACTTCATCCTCCTCCCACTTCCCTCTCTGAACCTCTGAACCAATATAAATTTAGCAGCCTGTGTTTTCTTATAACCAAGAATATATATTATCATATATATATATATATATAAATGAGATTCCTGATCTCAGTGAAACAAAAATATTCAAAACACCTTTTTATTCACATATTATTCGCATATCACCTTAGTAAGCCGTGAGTGTGGGGCAGCTTTAATCACCCATGATGATCTGAATTTGCTTTATATCCTGAAATTCACAGTAATCCAGCAATTAGTGAGTGTTAAGATATTATGTGAATCTAAGTATAGTACAGTGTTGGATTTCAAGAACAAGGTAGAGTGCTCCAAATTAAAATATACCTCTACTTCAAACCAACTTAAAGTTGCTATGTGTAGATTCCCCAGCACATATAATTAAAGCATCAGGGTTTTTCCCAGGTTTCTGGATGCTTACAGAGGCTTTTTTTTTTTTTTTTTTTTACAGATAAAGGTCCATTAAACTGATGTGGCTCATGATTTCAGTAGCTGAGTTCACAGCCACACAGATTAGAGCTTGACTGATATCATGTAGTTTTTGGCCGTTAAGTAACAGGAAGTTAAAGTAGAGAGATGGGAACTAGGAAACTAGGCTCTGAGCCTCTCTTCTGATTGGCTGACTGTTTTCTGAGTGATCCAATAAAAATATATCGGATTTCAGGTAAAACGCTCAGAGAAACCAAATCCTGCAAGGTTGGATGGTGGGTCCAGGTGGGCGGGGCTTGGTGACTGCTTTGTTGTGACATCACAAAGTTCCAGAAGTCCTGACGGCTGGTTTTAAGGCTCAGTGTCTGAATACAGGCTTTGTGCATTTCTCTGTGGACTGAGGCTTTGATACTTTCACAGTATTAATATAGAACCTAGACCTGATCTATAATCACACAACACATTGACATCTACCTTTTTAAGGTCCATATAGTACTTTTAAAATAAATACAATCAATCAGTAATTAATAATATAGGCCAAATTTAGAAATCATCCTCATCTGCCTGTTAATTTACCCAAAGCCACTAAAGTTATAAATAAGTTCTTTTCTCTGTGGAGTATTTTCTAAAGGAAAACAATCATTTCTGTCGAATAAGATGCATTTCCCTCCTTTATATCCTGCTGTCATATATGTTAGTGTGATCAAATTTATATTTTTGATCAGTATCATTCTTGTCACGCTTTGTATTAGCTATTGGTGGTGGTAATAGCAGTTTGAATTTACCAGTCACACCAGGGTTTCTCCCTGTCCCGCTGCTTGTTGGATTGTTTATTGAACCTGCAGCTCAAACTGTTCACCGATCAATAAAAAGAGGCAAACATCTCCCTTTATTTCTGTCACAGTAAACTCAACAGTAATGTGAGATCGTACAGTCCGACCAAACTCTCCACATGTCACTGACTCTGAATTCTCCTTTGTCCCTGGGGATCCTGAGCGTTTCCTGTCACTAACTGAACCTCAGACATGTCGGGACATTTGCATTTAGCCTGCACTGCTGTAAGAAGAGAAACAATATCCTCAGCCAACAATCACACATCAGTGTTTGCTGTTGTAATAATATGCAGAGAGCAGCGTCGACAGAC